CTCTCTCTCTCTCTCTCTCGGGTCTATTGACAGGAACCTGTACTAGACAGGCCGGAGCCGGATTCGGGCCAACCTGAGTATTAGGTGGAACATGCGTTCGGGGTGATGGATGTCGACTTCAGGAAGCTCCGCTGACTTCTTGATATTGAGATCATCATACGAGCCAGCTCCAGTCCAAGCGGGAGCCTCGCACTCCTATCCGTCTACAGCCAACCCACTCCGCTCGGATATGCTGCGCCCGCTCTCTCATTCTGTGCGTTCCACCATCGCATTCTACGTTCGAGTCTTACTCCTCTATGTCTGACGATGAGTAGCCTCGATAAGGCATGGATATCTTGTCGATCTATGTCCTGGTTGGATCATTCCCCGGCATGCTAGCGGAGAACTACGATTCAGCGAGGCATTTCCGAGATCCCTACCAGCATATTTGTCTCCCGCTTAGCTGAACGGTACGAAAAAGCGCAATCTGTGAGCAAATGATTCCTGCGAGACCTTGGTCGGGCCCGGGTGATCCCCGGCGAAGTTATTCCGAACAGTGCATTCGGCGTCGGAGCTCGGAGGAATCCTGACCAGGGTGGGCATTGATTGAACATTCCGATAAGAGTTCCGGAGTCGGAGTTGAATTCTCGGCTTGTCCGACTAATTAGAGAGAATCGTCTCTCGCATCGGTGCTCATGGAGTTTATCCAGAATCGTTGGAATTCGCAGAGATCATCGACTGACTGTGGAACCAGGCACGAGGAGCTCGGTATACCGTATTTCCCTCGATCTACATGAACCTCCGAGATCAGCGAGCTCCCCCCCGCGGAACCCAGCGTCATTTCGAAGACGAGAACTCTTTCGTTCGTGTAGACGTCGGTAGATAAACAGGAGCGATCGCTTGCGTTGATTCCGATTGTTCTATTATAACTTGAAGTTCATTTATACGCAGCCCCAGCTGGGCGATCGTAGCGCAACTTGAAGCCCACGTTCATGTGATGAAGTAATTAAAGCGTGAATGTGGCAAAGACCTAAGGGATGCTGGGCCTTTTTAATTACAACGAATCAGACATTTCAATTGACCCTTCGGAACCCGTTAACTTTTTCGATTCGAACCACTCGGCGGGTTAGATGTTTGTATCTCCTATCGCACTCCTGGAAACAGATCGAGAGTGCGAATGTACCCAGGTGGATCACGATGATGCTTGAGCATCCTTAGGCATATTTTGCCAGGAGCAGCTGGAATCTAACTTAGGTCACCTAACGCCCGAGCGGCGTCGGTGCCGCGTCGTAGCGAGCACTTGAAACTTGTAAACAGGCTATTATCATAGCTGCCAAAGAGGCGCACGATACATTTGCACGGAGATAGATTCGCTCGCAAGAGCACACCTCACATGTGTAGGCCTCAGCTACGAGGAAATGTGATGGGAATCGGGAAACCTATTTGGTGCGTGGCTTCGGAGGAGTGCTCTGTTTGTCGAAGTCTCACCTACGTGCCATGTTCCTGCCGCGACTTTTCAGAGAAGCTCCAGGATTGAGCATAGTCGAACCTTAAGGACATTGAACAGGAGGAGCCGTAAAATGCCGCAGAATGAACACTCGGAATCGGACAGACTCCCGAGACCCCTGTTGGATGATGGAAAACATGCGATTTCCGTTCCTCATGAGTTATGAGTCATGAGGATAGGCTCTTAAAAGATCTCGCTGGCCTTCGACCACTCGAAGGAGTCTCCGAGGCAAGGAGCGATAGACGTATATGCCGTCAACCAATCTAAGGCACGCCTAAATCCCGCCGGAGGGATAGCGCTGTGGCCAAGCTCCAGGTCGGGAGTTTTCCCAGTATGTTGTTCTCTCCGTTGAAGATAACCCCTTTCTGTACTTTTTTCAAAAACGATACGCCTTGATGTCATGTGATGCGGACCCCGCCGGGGCTCTACTAAGATCCAGAACGCAAACCGTGAATAAGACACGGAATCGCTCCCCATTATTTCGGTTTAGGTGATGTCATGGATTGGAGCTGTGGCAGCTACAATGACGAATGATGACATCACGTGGTGGCGAACTAGAGCCAGAGAACGAGCTCTCCCTTTTCTTTTCACTTCGAGACATCGAGGGGAGCACCTCGTAGAAGCAGAGTGGCGCTTCCTATCCAACATCTTCGCGTTGTGCCCAATCAGCTTCTCGCCGAAATAGTAAAGCAAAGTTCCGCGATTCTTCGGAGCCGCTGCCTCGGCTGGGCCGTCTCGGGGGCGGATTCTTCGCTCCATGCCGGCGGTTCCTCCGATCGAGGGGAGTCTTTGGTCTTTTAAGAAAACCTTCGTATGTCTCCTAGCCGCGCTCGCCGGCGCGGCGTTCGCCGCTCGGACCGACATCGATCGGAAATCCTTCGGGAATAGCTCCGCCGAGCTTTTCCCATATCCAATTCGGCGGCTCCAACGATGGGGCGCAACAAGCATCTTCCAACGTAGCTTCGGCTACGACCAAGCGGCCCAGGCTACCAAGGCCTTCGGGACCAAGGAATCGAGTTGAAGTCGGGAAAACTTCGCTCAATCTCCCAACTCCCAACGATGCCTTCGAAAAGGGATCGGGGAGTTTCTCTCATGGTTCAGGCTCCAGCAACAAGGCCCATGCAGTCGATCTCGCTCAGCAGCAAGCTCCCACCGAACCGATAATACAGCCCGGACTAGGATTTGGATCGCCCGGTTCCGGGGCTGGAGGTCCTCCTTTCATACCGATCGGCTCTTCCTCGTCGCTCGGATCCCTCGAGCAAGGTTCGTCTGCCACGGGTTTGTCCAAAGGGCAAGTGACCTGGAACTTCAACCAAGGCCAATCTTCAGTGAAGTCTACCGGTAGCGACCAATTCCTCGCGAACAAGGAGTCTTCCGGCCAGGGAGCTCCGTCTCCCCACGCTAAAGGCAACGGTCATCAGTCATAACTCACAAGCGCAGAGCAATCAGCAAGGTCACCGAAGGGGGTCAACAAGTGACGTCGACAACCAGGGCCGATTGGACTGAACATGCAAAGGAGACAACTCGAGCTTTTGATCCGTCAACTGAGCCATCATCGGAGCGTGTCTGTGATATTTAGAAATATTTCCCTCTCCATCAATTAATGTCCAGGACATAGCTCTGCGTGATTCCTGTGAATTTGGTTCAGTGGATCGAAGGAGAAGGAGGGGGGAAGGGCATTCAACAATCCCGAATATCGCACCCGAAGGTCTGTGGGGTCAAAGAGACGGCGTTTGCTCGAGAGCCTTTCCATAGACGTATCGATACATCAGTCCAACAGTACGTGCATGTGCGTCTGCGTACATAGGCACCGTGGCCGTAGAAGCATCTGTTCTGCTCCTGTCTACCTTTAAAACCGTGAATTTCCATATCCACTGCAACCATGCATTCGGAATCAGGCTTCCTCCGTCTATTCGGTAGACTGCTTAACATGCACAACGACGGTGAGTAGGAGAAACCAGGGTTTTTCGTGCCCCGAAGGTGATTGTCAATCGGAGACATGAGTTTCCACCCTTTGTCTTCATCAGATCCGGCTCGATTTGAGCTCTTCAAAAAGAATATTCAGCAAATCATCAAGTGTGTGAATGCCTTGGAAGAGACAGCTGACATGATCGAGGATCCCGAAGAACTATATATGTTTTTAGTTCGCTCGGAAATCGGCTGTTCTGGTGTTTCCAAGGTTTGTGCGTTCCTTGATCTGGAGAGTCGAGTCATCGGAAGCTAGGAGCTGGGATATATATCCAAGAAAATATACATTGGAGCATGCTGAGCCTATCATACGTACCGCCTCCATGGTCGCCCCGATTTCTGCGGAGGATCGATTGGAATGCCTTTCGACTTGTCGACGTAGTTCTCTGAAATAAGCCGAGAGTCCTCCCTGAACTAGTGTGTTGTTTCATTCTTCCCATCATAGTCCCCGGATGAGTGCGATGGGGGGAATGGACAGGATCATCAGCCGAGAACGCCTCCGGCCTCTATTACGAGAACGCAGAAGAGCGATGCAGCAACGCAAACACAACGTCGGAGGGTCACATTCTCCTCGGGTAAGGAATCGTAGTGGGGAATTGTCAATGCGATTGAAACTGATTTACCGGCCGGTCATCTCATTCGCGATAGTAGCGGAGACTTCAGGGCGGTTCAGAAAACTGAGAATCGACACCTTCGTCTTTGGGAGAATCGACAAGTTCGTCTTTGGGAGAATCGACACCTTCGTCTTTGGGAGAAACGAAGCTTAAGCTTCGTGTTCGAAGCGGTTACCCGCTCCCACAATAATGTCTCCAAGGGCTGTATTGATTTCAGAACTCGCCGATGAACTTCGGATCACTACCAGGAGGCCTTTGCAAATCCAGAAAACCGTGAGATCAATAATTCTTGCCATTTTTTATCTATAGGATATGGACGATGCTCCGCGAAAATCCCTCGTGCTGGAGTCAAGGTCCACAACCCCTCCACTGATTAAGAATCAGGGCAAACTTTCCAGCCGACAAGAGTTGTTCGATGCTCTGATCCGAGGCCCATCGAGGAGGAAGAGGAAACTCCCGCAGAAAGTGGACGGAGCTTCTTGGGGCACTCTTTCTTCGAGCCCCCGGTAATCTAGCCTTCTTCAGAGATACCATGAGATCTCATTCTTGGGAGGAGGACGCGCTCCTGACGTTGTCTGATTTTCAGTCTCCGTCATCTCCGACGGATCCATCAGAGGAGACGCTCCATCAATCGATGGAGAGCTCGTCCAGGGCGCTTGATGGTCGCGGTGACGGTCAGGGCGAGAACGTTAAACCCGTCAATAATCAATTTTCGGTGGGAATGACGGTGTCAGACATCGCGGCTACTCCCACAACTGCGAAGCAAGTGAGAAATCTTATGAAATCTCACGCGGAACTTCACCCCGTACCGCCGAAAACACCGGAGACGGTCGCATCGGTGAAACGGCTCTCACTGCGCCCTGTGAGTACAGCCAATGCGAGTTTGGGTCGATATCTCATTTGACTTGATCATGTACCGCCGAAAAAGTTGGCGGGCAACATTCTGTTTCCTCATCTGACTTCACAAGGTTGCTCCTATCTAAAGGAAAATGCGCAATCGCCCGTGAAGGAACCAATAGCGGCTAAGAAAGACTTGGAGACCTCCACAACTCACTGCGATGTTCCCAATAAGCTATGTCAGAACACCATTCAACGCACCGGGGATCACGAGGACAAAATATCCTCTACGCCCATGGCGTCGATCCTGGGGAAGAAGGCTGCTCCGCTCAAGAGCGAGACTAGCCGCCGCCTGACTTCGACTCCCATTACGAGTCGAGGGAACTCGAGGTCGTCTCTGGCGAAAACCTCGAACCTTCCAACTACAACGAACCTCAGGTTGTCACCAAGTAAGCTCAGACCGCGAGAGAGCTTTCATTCGCAGCTCCCTCATCCCTTTCCCTTGATCCGCTACCTAATCTCCCATTCCGACCTAATAGAGGCTTCTCCGTTTTCAGAAAAACACATGCAAAAATCATCGGTGGATCAGACACCATTAAAGACCAGCCTGACAGTGAGCGCTCAGCGAGCGGCAGATGGGAAGTCGGAGAGCTCGACAATTTCGAAACTGAGGCTTCTCCACGACGGTTCAGAATATCCGGAGATGTCGCTCAGTGCCAGACGAGCTCGGAGCCATCCGAGAGCTTCTTTCCTCGAGCCATCGCTGAGAAATAAACTTCGGCGCGATAAGTGAATAGGAGGGCCATAATGGTGGCGTGGGCGAAGTTCCGAGAACTTCGTCCGAATTCATGTTTGCAAACGCATTCATCTCTTAAATAAGACGGGTAGATGGGTCGATGAACGTCGGTCTTCTGTCAAAAATCTTTCTAAGTGAATCGAGACATCTTCAAAGAATAAATTTCATACCTCTTCGACTGGATTTGTCACTCGGACGCGCAATGTTCGGATGATAAGGGGTGAGAATGACGTCCGTTCCCCCTTCCAGGCCTGAAACATGACGAGATCACTCACACGGTGCTGTCGATGGGTAGGGCCTCGATCGTAATCAGTCCCTGTAACTATGTCGTGTCCGGCTCCCAACCTCGGCCAGAGAGTACTCCACTCCGGGCGGGGCTGCTCGCCCCGACAGGTGAACCATACCTCGCAATGGAAAAAAGCGCACTGAGCCGGCACACGCTAAACTCTATTCACTGGAGTAGGCTACGTGAAGGGAGTGTCGGAGACGCGCAAGGTGGGAATCATCTACAGATAGAGGATTCATTCTACGATTTTCGAGAGGAAAGGAGTTCTGTTCTTCCACGAAAGTCCGTTCCGCTGGCTAGGTTGAAGAATCATTGTCTTCGGCGATTCATGTTCCGAATCGGAGCCGCCGATATCCCATCGATCCTCCCCTACGGTGTTACGTACACTTGAGCACCGGTCGGGAGGTTCGAAATGAACGTTGCGATGCCCATTAGACAGTGGTAGGCATGGTGAGTCACTCTCAATAAAACATCTTTCCTCGATTAGTGATTCCTAGGTTTTTCTCTGAAGGTAAGATTCTGCGGTTCTCAGTCGAGACAGATTTCGTGTAACACGAACGAACAAGACTTATGCCAGACTTTCATTGCATCCTCCCTTCTTCTCGTGCTTTCTCAATTTCCATTCCTCGCTTCTCCTCTTCCCAAGTCCAGTCAGAAGCTGGTCGGCGAGGTCGTCAAACCCGAGTCTATCGAGGACCCGGTCTATCGAAGATAACCGGTTTTTCCGAACGATCCGGTTGTGACCGACCTTCTCCATCTACGATGCGCCTTCATGCTCCTACGACTCGGATGTGAGATATCCTCTGCGACTGAGCACTGTCTGCGGAGGTCTCTCGATCTTGTTACCGCTCTCTGGAGTTTCGTTCGAGGGAAGTTTCGAGCATATTCTGTGTCTATGAGAATCATGTATGATTTGAGAGATGATGTATGATGTCGACGAAGACCTTGGGGAGAGGAGCCGATCATCCGGCAAGTGAAATCTACCTCCGACTCTAGCAAGTATGTGTCCTGTCAGAGGTCGGGCCCGGTTGTCTCGACCCGACACTCTCCGCCGGGTGTGAGCAAGAGCTCCTTACTCTGGTTAGAATTGGGGAGACAATCTAATTAATGGACGCTCGGTCGAGAGGCATACCGAAGTAGCACGCAACCGGAGCTCATGGCTGGGGATGAATTGTCAGTACGCGATGCGATACGGGCGTTCGAGCGAGCGAGTCGACAATCGAGCATAATATCGAACTCGAATAGACAGAAGCGATCAGGGTTGTCAAAGGAGCTCGCCGGGATACGCGAGGACACCGCAGCTCTATGAACTCATCCTCCCGCCTGGTTGCGTGCTCGTGAAGCCCCCGTCGCCAAATCCCGAGTCATGAGGACCGAAGAAAATGGAGGACGGATTGTGGAAATCATCCCGTCAAGTGTTATTCAAGAGTTGGATCTCAAGAGTTGGAAGAAAAAGCGATGGTTCTCCGGACCCGGACCAGCATTGGCGATAGTCGTCGTTCCGAACGCAGTATGTTCTCATAGGGATCACTTGTTCGCTGGAACACGATTATCTCAGGCATTTCTCATGGGAACCGGGCACCGGTCTTGAGGCTGAAGTTCTCCGAACGGCTATGCTGCCGGAACTCAATGACGTCTCACTCTCGACTCTCAGATCGAGTCTCGTCGGCTACGGTACTCAGCAGCCCGTATCCGGCCACATCGACCGACTTCGTCCCCGAAACAAACCGGGGATGCTCCAAGATGCGCCGGTAGAATTTCTGACTCTTGGTCTCTCGTCCAGAACCATATCGCTCAAATGATATCGATACATCGATATTTTATGACGCTCGTGAGAGGGGGAGTCTTCTTGCGCATGGCTCACTGTGACTTATCACCGCAAACGCCTCTTCGAGGGAAAAGAGATCCACAGAACCCTGGCATCTCTCACACATACTGCCAGTGAGTAGGATTCCTGAGAGAGATTTGCTGAGACGAGCCAAAGAGAAGGTTCTCCAATGCCTGCGAGAGATGATCCTCTGCTGGGAGAGATATTTAGACTGGGTACTCTGGATCACTCAGCTGACTCGTAGACTGAATGCGCGGAATATCATCATCGACATGAGTACGAGAATACAAAAAAAATGATGAGCTCTGGCTCTTAGTTAATCAGGCCGGGACCTGCGCTCCCGTTAGGGCATTTTGCCGGCAGTAGAAATGGGACCCACATCACCGACGGCGTGAGCTGCGCGGCGTCGCGCGTCGTTGCGGCCTCATCTCTGGGAGTCTTCAACGTATCTGTAAAGCACGTTTGCCCGGAAAATAGCGGACGCGCGGACCCTTTCGACACCCCGTCGCTCTAGAGATCAGGTGAACGCATTCAGGCTCTCTCATTCAGACTCGAGGATCACGATTTCTCTATCAATAAGTTACACATCTCCCAGGGAGATCTCCAGGGTGATCGTGGCGGAGCGATCGTTTTTCGATGTCTCTGTGACGTAAGGTGGTATGACTTTTCTTGAATTTGGTCAGCGCTGATGGCGAACACTGGTCAGACCTTTGGAGGGACCTGAGGAGAAAGTGCCAACTCCGCCGAAGTACGCGACGTCGACGCTACGGACAAATCGATAGGGACTGACTACCATCGACTCCGGTATCGAAACTCTCTCAGTTCTCCGATGACGATCCGCAGCGAAGGGGACAGGCGCTATCAAGTGCTTGTTCATAAGTCTTGATGCCAGCGACGTTTCTCTAGATTAAGCAGGTAATGAGAATTGTCCGACGCGACTCCATGGCATAGACGTTGTAATGTCCGGAGATTTTCCGAGGGGGGTGGAAGGAATCTCCTTGCATCAATATTTTCGACTTCGCGGCAAGCGGGAGAAGCTGTTCACCTTCTTCACGCGAGCGGCGGCAGTGAAAGCCAGGAAAGGCTCTACGCTTCGGAAACACTGCACTATCACCAAGCCGAATCGCGCTTCAAACTATCTCAGAAGTTGACAAATATCTAGAAAAGATTTATGGTTATGTGCATCCTCCCGGCGACAGGCCTCAGGTTGCGGAGCGGGAACTCCTCGCTCTTTAGGAAATGACAGCTCAGACTCCGCCTTCAATCGAGGGATATCCAGTCGCTCAAACGCCGGACTGCTCGGTCAGGCCGGCGGGAGCTCTTCTTTCCGAGCCACCCGACTTGATTCAATTGTCCCGGTGATCGCCTGGTCCAGTCTTCGTCTAGGAGGCGAAGGGCTCCTGACTGAGCCTGATCCGCGAATAATCCTCATTCGACGCTGGATCCCTTGGATCCATAGCAGAAGAGCAGCTCTGGGGAACAGAGGGAATTTCAAACGGATATCTTCCAGACTTTTTTGCGGATGTTGCGGCCCGGGCTCCGACAGTATTGTTCGATATCCTCAGGTAATCTGGACGGGCTCCATTAAAGGTCTTATTGGAGCGTCATTCGGGAGTTATTTTTACTGACGGACTATTTTCTATGCGGGAAGGAATTCTGTCTGATGCAATAGAACATAGAACACGGTGTTCTTGGCCGGTGAGAGCATTCATTGCTGATTCTCCGACGGATTTTCGCTGCCGGAGCGAATATTCAGATGAAGTCGTTCCTTACGTTGTTCGATGGTGTGACTGGGAGCATCGCGAGGTTCTCAACCAGCACGTGGTTTCGCTACGAACTTCTCCGATCATTGGGAGCGGGCAGGTTGCGCATGCGCGCTTGAGGGCTAACGAACGAAGCAGCCAACCATCCAGCTACCGAGGCTCTCAGTCGGTTGGATGGGAGAGAAGTGGCCGCAGCCGCAGCAGCATCAACAACACATGAGAGGAATCCTTCTCTTCTGATGGCGGCTCTATCCACAGAGGGTTTGTGACCACGGTCCTGAGCTGTGTGTTTCAATCAGCTGCTCGGAATGCGTTGAATTCAGGTGAGGTCCTTTGACTCGAGGTACTCTGGGAGGAAATAATTCCGTCTACACTGTAGACTATAGACCACCAAAATTCAGAGAGTACATTCTACTTCTCGCGCTGGAATTGTTTCTCTGTGCAAAGACAGACTGAGCGGATACCAGAACCCCGTGCGACCGGCATGACGGGGGGAAGTACGATCCATGAAATATTTCGAGCGCGAATGACCGTATTGTGGGCTTCGCCCACGGGTTCGAAGGGAGGGATCGTGGAAACAGGAGTTTTTCCGGGAATTTACTTCCTGACCCCGAGTCAAATCATGGAGTTCGCATTCCCTACACGATGACAGTTTCACCTCATCCCGCTCGGGAGGCCTGGACACAGGATTGGGTGTTGTTGTCGTCCTCGATGCAAAATCTCTGAACGAAAGAGAGCACCTGGAGGAAGGGCGATCTACGAGGAAATTTCCCCCTACATTATTCTTGAATTGAAAACCCTCTTTGATGCGAGAATCGGATCTTCTATGAGCTCTGAATAAGCACGAGAGGTGATGTAAGAGACTCCGTGCTCGATGTCTCGGAAAGGGAGCATAATCGGATTGAGATCCCTGCTGAAGGATCAATTGGGAAGGTGATGTTTCCCCGCACATCCGTAAACCTCAATGAAAATCCTACGCCAACTCCTCTAATGAGAAAAACCTTGGGCTGGGGACTTGAACTTTTTCAATTTCGGATCGTTTCCGTGGGGAAGCTCATCTCTCTGTATGAGCGTGGGATCCACAACCGATTCGAAGCGGTGATTACGATCGTGTTTTTCCTTTTACCGGAGTGGCTTTTCTGCATAATTCTGTGATCTGCAATGCGATGGCGAACTTCGCACATCTCCGGAGCGTTGTCTCATTTCCCTGCATCACCAGTCGGGATGCAAGGTTCGATGGAAAACTACATGAGAGAGTTCGGTGGTCGCGATCCGGCGGTTTCCAGTAGAATCGAGAGAGGGCAGTGGAACGATCTCCGGGGTATTTATCCCATGTACGTGGAACATCAGCTGTGCGAGTTTCCTTTGCACAGAGAACGTGCATTAAAACTCGGAGTGTATTGCATTTGGCGTTCGATATTAGACGGAAGAGGACGGAACTTTCCTGAACTTGACACGCGTGAATGAGCTCTCGAAGTTCCGAGCCGGCTAGGTTCGTCAGCAGGAAAGTAGAGTGTCACAAACCACGTGCCCATGCGTCGTTTCGCTTTCTCAAGATGATTCCTGATTATTCGGAGAACGGAAAACGATCATCAAAAGGAGGATGATGTGTCCCAAGACTTGCGCAAGGCAATCGTGGCCGAAACATGGCGTTCCCCGCGTGGTCATCCACGGATCCCGCGGTCGGAGTTTCTCGAGCCTGCACGGCTTTCTGAGCGTCATGAGATCTAGCGATGGGGGATTCAGCATTCGTGTTTCGTCTGCTTCGCGTCGAGCTGATTGTGAGTTCGATGCTTTCTGAAGCACTGAAAGAATCGCTGAGATGTACCTCGACCATTCATGGTCTACTGTCGCAGAGCCCGGCAACCTCATCCATGCTACGCGCAACGTCGGGAGTGCGTGAAGCCGACGTGCCCTTCTTCGCATTGACTCCCGGCTTGCTTATTCGGGGACTCATTTCGGCAGGCATCCCGTAATCATTTATTGCTTTCTCGATAGCGCTTCGATGCAGGATTGGTCACGATCTTAACGAAGCAGCTTGATGTTCGCTTAGGAGCTCCTCGTAAACCTCTCGCCCAGCGTTACGACGCTGCAGAAAAAGTAAGAAAGCTATCCAGATACGTCCGAGTATCGAGCGGAGGGAAAGAAGACCGAATCTCATCGGCAGAGAGAAAGGAAAGTGGATATATCAGAAATGAGGAAGGGAAAAAACTGCGACTCTGCCACCACGTTGCATCTGGTAACAGCTGCTTCTGAGTGCCGACGGAAAGCCTTCTCCTCGTATGGATTGATTCATTATTATCGATCGAACGCATCGCTCTCGGCCACCCTCCATAAACGTCCGATCTGATGAATCGCCAGCGTTCGGTGTCACTCATTGGAGACATCGAAACAACACGGACGGACTCACGCATGCAGCTCGCGTAACTCTCCTTTATTTATTATTACTCAACCAGCGACAGAATAATCACCGGGAGCCGGCGGCTGACAAAAGCGTCTCGGCCGGCCGGCCGGCCCTCCCACCGTTTGGTCCCCTCGGTCTTCGTCGGTTTCTCCGCCGTTTGTCTTTGAGTGGATGTCTTTTTTTCGTTCGAGCCTTGCCTCGCATCTTGTTGTCGTGTCCGCTTTTGTCTCGCAGCGAGTCAATGCAAAACCCAGACGTGGTGTTTATTTTGCTTTTTGATGCTTCCAATAACGACCACGCCGCAAGCTGATGCGGCGGGACAGCACTGGCGAATTCGGCTAGTTGGGACCGAGTAGACGAACATCTTCGGGGTAGCGCACTACTTGATGACTTGAGGATCACGTTGATGGGGATCATCCGACTGATGGCAGTCAGGACGTCGCCTGATGATAATTGTCACGATGGCAGAATCGGTCCGGAGTGATGGCAAGACTCCTCGACCACGACGATTCGAACGACCGGACTCCGAGCGAAAGACTCCGAAGATTTCGGACCACACAAACTGACACAGCGACGACGGCACCGACAAACGATTCTTTTTGTTCCATTCGCTTCTGGGTGATTTCTGTTTCGGGAAGCTGTGCCGTGGAATGGGATCCGAGCAGAATTGCTCCTTCATTTTTCTCTCCCCAAGGCATTCTTGAAAACGATGGATCCGTCATGCATGGATGCACTTCAATTTCCGAGGAGTCATCTATAGTCTTGAAGCATCCCTGACCTCAAAGAGCCGTCAGATCCTCCTCCCATAGCGGTATAATATGACTTCAGTCCCGCATGGGACTTGAGCCCGGCAATGCTGCAGATGTCTGTCTCGAAGCGGGAGAGTCGGCGTGAATCGATCCGAAAATTCTACCTGCATGCGTCTTCGTCGACCTTTCGACAGCGTTGTGCTCCGATTCGTCAAGCCGAGAACGCGGCTCCGATTCTTCCGATTCGTATGGAGTAGTTTCCACTGAAAAAGGAACTTTCGCTCTTTACTTCGCCCAAGTGCGCTCAGAAATATTGACGGACCAAAGGGAACCAGGGGACCAGGCTGCTCCCTGGAGACCTTGGCTTTCGAATGAAGAGTTCGCTCGCTTGGCATGTATCTCTCGATGCTTGCTGCTTCGTATTGGAGCCTAATGGGCGCGATTATGCACAACGAAATCGTGACTCTGGAAAGCTAACGACACTTTGAGACGTTTTCGGAATTCATTCTGAGAAGCACCGCCGAGGGTTGAGCTAACCTTCCTCTTCAATTAGGAACCTTCATTCCTGGTTTCTATTCTACCCGGCGAACAGTAAACCGATAAGAGACTAGGAGTTGATCCGAAAGGATGGGCAAGTTCGATCGAAGGTGATAGTTCAGGAGGCTGTCGACATTCATGATACCAATGAGAGGCCGCAAATTCATTGTGTTCCGGAAGCTCTGCCGACGACGCGTCTCTACTCGCGAATGACTGACTATCCATTATTATGAACGAGTTGTCTGTGCAGTCGAAGGGGAGTGCATCAGGCGGGATTTCTGAACGCCCCCTCCTTGCTCCACGTAATTTGGTTGCTGCGGCACTAAGCGACCCATCTCAGCCAAACTCCCGTGTCACGAGTGTTCGCGGGAGATAGGCCACGAACCGGCAGTCTGTCTTCTGTCACGGATCCTGCAGAATAAATCGTGGAATCGGGCCCCAATTTCTCGCCGTCCGTATATTCGAACGTTTCCTAGGGTGACTGATCGAATGAGTGACGCTCTCTCACGGCCGAGTCGCTATCTCAGAATAAACTCCGGCCAAGTTCCCCTCGAGATTCTTGGATAGACTTCTGCTGAGATCGATCGATGTAGACCACAGTCTTCCAGGGATGGAGAGGCTGAGCGATGCACAAGACCATCACGAACCGGTAGTCGGAGCTAAGTCAACATCGCTCCGTAGAATTGCTATGAACAATACTTGCCCCCTCGAGGAGGAGAAGGCGGTCCAAAGTCGGCGTTTAACGCCGCTCCGGATGCTGTAAGGATGCTTTGGAGGGGCCCCTTGCCGCCAGTCAGACATCAACGAGGAAAAATTTCTTCCCCGGCGACTGGATTTCTTCTGTAGGGTGCGCAGATTTTCTATGGAGAAACAGTGAGGTTTCGGCCTCTGAGCACGATTATGTTCTTCGGTTTGAAAAATTCACAACTTCACGCTCATAATTATCGCTCGATCGGGATCGATCTCCGTTCGAGCTTCGACAACGTAAGCAGAAAATCCGCAGCTCATCCGGCCAATTCGAATACTGGTTGGGAACTCGAAATTTTGCTCCGACTCCATAGAAGATCGGCTTTTTTTCTGCAATCGAATTTTCTGCGAAAGCAGCATCGTCATGCGCTCGTCTTTATTTGGTTTACATAACGCTCGAAGCGAAATTGTGTCGACTGATCGAGTGTGTGTAACGGTGACAGATGAACAGTCGCGTTCCGCTTTCCTGGTCAACCCATTAAAATAACCCACTTTTCGCCGGTTTTCGGGCCTTTTCCCCAGCTCCTGCCTCTCTTCTGGCATCGTTTGAAAAGGTGAAAGTATCAACGCTTATCGCAGTATCGACATATCACGAATCGATACATCGCTCTATGTGACCGGGACTGGAGGTATTGAAGTTGAAATGACAAACTCGCACTGACACGAGACGCGAAGTAGCGTATTTACGCGTTTCTTTCGGGGTCGTGTCTAAAAATCTGCTACACTTTCTGAATGTTTCGCGCCACAGCGTCTCTCAGGAGACGATCTTTTGTTTCACCGCTCCGATCTGCGGATCGTTCGTCGCGCGTTCAGTCGTTTATACCGTCTACTAGGCTCGGGAATTCATCAGATCGAAAAATGCCAACGATAAAGCGGCTAAGAACGCGCACCAGGAGTCTGTGAATGTTACTGAAGTTGAACAGCGGGACTGCTGCGACACTGATGTCTAAAATGTCCTTGTCTCGGGGCTCATGGGACTAAAGTCATAGTAGAGTGGTTCCAGCCATGAGTGCACAGCTCTAATGAATACCGCCGACAAAGCGCATCTGTCGTTTCCCTCTAATCCTACCAGTCGTTGAACAATCGAACATTCAATCGTGGAAGTCGATCCCCGATGACTTTCTGCAGCCTAGACGCGTTTTGCGTACGGAGACAGAAGAATGGGTGCGCTTCGAGCGTGGAGTGTGGGAGTTGACCGGGTCAAAAGCGACTTCTGGTTTATAGTGCACGTTATGACGTCAAGGGACGTGCTCGCTTAGAATATTCCGCTTGCTTAGGGTTGTTTTCGCCGAGCGAATTAGTCAGCCAGATAGACATCGGAGCTTGATGCTAATCCAGATCAGAGGCGCGTGGGCCAGCGAGCGGAATTATTCTATCTACCTCGAGCCGAGTGCACACAGGAAGTCGCGACTCGGTTTCGGACCTTTAAAAGCTCGGGCCTCACTTTTTCGTCACGTTCTCTATGAAGCGTGCCCTTTTGGCTCTTGGGCAACACGTTGGCCACAGAGACACACGGCGAATCTGACGTGTAGTTTCTGTCACTAGGAAATACTCTGACGGGCATTGACCAATGTCGCCTGTCCGATACAAACAGAAAGATCGCTGCCGATGACAGTTAGATTGTGGCGTCCGGATAGGGGAAATGGGCTCGTGATGCTTTTTTCAAAGCAACCTGATCACCCGACAGTTTCTCGCCGCCGGATCTGGACCCGACTGCGTCGTGCTTCCGCTTCATAGGTCTCGGGAGCCGCTATCAAACAGAAAATCAGCGGGAAAAGTTTCTAGATCAAGCGCGCACAAAATTCTGACGAGAGTGAAACCCGTCCGCTGACTCCGATTTCGGCGAGTGGTAAAGCTTTCTGGGGACAGAATCGGAACCCTCGAGCTGCACTCGACAAGACCGCGGGCTGCCTGCGATCATCTGTCCGCCTGAGGCTTCCGGTGATCTACTCCGATCGAAGAGATGAAGTCGGCAGCGCATCCGGTGCAAGTGATCGGCTATCTGCCCCTTGGAGAACGCTCTCAGCTCTCGTGTACCTCTCGACAATCTCCATTGCCCGGAGCGCGACGACCGTTTTTTTTTCCGATCGACCTTGAAGTGGGCGGAGGCTCGGACGTTTTTGCCCGAGTACACATCTGATGTACGTCTGATGCGACCTGTAATTACAAGTCCGCACAGTCAAAGCAACAGGAACTGGAACGTGAAAGTCAGAATGAGAGACACAGATTCCGATTCGACGTCACGTCGTGACCGATTTAGTCGACCTATCGCACTCCATTGTGAGCCCGGGGATGATCATTCCTCTTCCCCGGAGCAGAGAATTTCTCTCCTCGCTCTGGCCTCGGGCATTGAGGGGATCCTGGCTCCAAGCCCGTAGAGATGAGCCCCTCACTGAACGAGGCTAGAGTTCCAGCTCCACTTCAGATATCATCAAATCGATCCGGTATCTGCTTCGCTGCTTCTCCATCTAATTGAAGTGAGAGTCCGCCTCTATGATGTGTACTTTGAATGCCGCGGCGTGTTTAAAAGGATTTCGGACCCCACGGCAGTTCGATGCTCCTACGTCACAAAGTTCGATCCGGTCGCGCTAGATCGGAGTCGAAAGAAGGATCCCAGATATTCCTCTCAGCATGCCATTGAGGGGGTGTACTGCGGAATTCACGGAGCGGCTCGACCGCGGCTGTCCCGGTACTCACATGAAATTATTGCAGTTGCACATTGGCGTCACGGGAATTCATGGCATGCTATTTCTGTACGTTGTTGCCTCCACGGCCCTCCTTAGTCACCAATGACAATCGTGATAGAGCCTCAGCCCGCTTATCCCATAAAGCAACAGTCGGAAACGGTGGGATCTTCGAGAGACGTCGGACATTGAGTCTTGTTAATCTCGTGAGGCTTTTTCCCGTGTTTGCATATCGCGGCATAACTCTTAAGTGGGTTTTCGCGTCTCTGATCGGAAGTAAAGTTTCCAAACTTTGCTTCCCGCCGATGCTCTTCCTCGCACGCAGACGATTCCCTCTGGTGGATTATCAGAAATATTTGCGGGAGCGATTTTTCGAAATCATTCGTTGACGCTGCTAGGAGTTTCCTGGCTTGATTGGGGGAACCTTGCAACCCCAGGACGATCATGGAGCGGAACCTCGTATTTTCCAATGCTATGACCGACGTTCAGGCTCATCGTGGCGTAGACGATGCGTGTGAAATGCGACTATGGCAGTCTGCAACCGTTTTCGGAAGTCCATATAGGAATCTTTTGTGTTCTATCGTTTGATCATGCTCCGATGTTGCCTCGCCGGTCATTCCGTAGGAATAAACGAGAGTTGTCGGAATAAAAATATTCGTCATAAACAGCCGAAATTCCTTCCTGGAATCGATATCGCGGCAAGCCATATCGAGGGATGAGTAAGTGACGGACCCCCGTCTCGACAAGGAAGAGTGAGTCGGTGATATGCTTCTCTACATATCTATGGTTTCACACGATGCCCTGCTACGATTGAAGGCGGTTTCGAGCCTGTGATTCCGTTGGAAATCGAGCGTTGAAAAATCTCCGATTCGCGCCTTCTGAAAACGAATATTTCCCGATGCTCATGTAAACACTCGGGAACAGCAGCTGTATGATTGATGCTTGGAACGGTAGCAAAAGTCTGAGAGGTTTTTGACGTCAGCAAGATTCATTGTTGCTCCGGAATGCTTCGAAAAATGAGCATGGCCGCCGCTCGGAAGTCAACGCGCGAATCCCGCGATTCATGAATCATTTCCTTATCGGAGGAAGTTCTGATGTGGAGAAAATCACGGGATCCCTGGCGACTTATGGAACTATGAACTATCCTGCCGCGCAGTACATGAGGCAACTGTGCGTGGCGTGCCAGGTCGGTCGAGAAACCGCGATGAGCGACACGCGAATAATCACTCGTGTGCGAGCCTAGATACTCAATCTCAGAGCTTTCACTACGGCCGCGAGCTCTGTCTTCAGAATCGGGCGTCTCTCCGTCGAAAATCACATCTGATAGATCAATGAGAGTCTTATTCACACGTCTACGAAGGACGTCCAGGCGGCAACTCTCGGCTCTTTTGAACCGATCGGAATGCACGACAAGCCTCGATCGAAGAGGAATGCTACGCTTATCAGCCAATGCAACTGGTCAAACTCGGGCTTTGTTGTCGCTTTCTGTAGGACAAAGGAATGAATGATTCTGTTGACGGCGTTCCGTGGGGGATGAAGAGCAGGCAGGACACGTCTCCATCGCGGTAGAATTTCGGATGTTCATTCTTTTCCTTCCGCCTTCGAGTAATGAAATCGGCCGCGCCTTACTCGCCCATTCGCTGGAGCGTGACGATCGGTTCACGTGCGAAATCGCGGTTTCTCATTGTTGAGCTCGCGAATCGACCGACCTTGTCGACGATGGCGCTCTGAGGGTAAACTCCGTTATTGTTCCCTGTATCTCGCGTTCTGATACAGAGTAACTAGGTGCTCACGTCTCGGGCATCGATCTGATTGTCGTTTGCCTGCGGAGGGGTCATGCTTTCTTCTTCCTGCCTTTACAGTGGCATCAGACGCGATGAAGTGCGTGAAGTTCGTCGACGTGGAGCGCGCTCTCGGCGGTCATCGCCTCCTCCAGCCGAAGAACTTCATAACGACCCTGTGTGTAGGTGAGTGAAGTCGTCTCCGTCCCCAGTGAACGGAGCGCTCCGTTGAGGCTCTGTTCCCCGAGCCCGTTCCATCTTGGTCACGACCCGATAACTGATGAGACACTTTTTACAGGCATCTTATTCGGCTTCGGAACCGCCTATGTAGCTCTCTGCGTCATCTCGCTGCGGCCTATCGGTCCGATCTCAAATGCAATTCTACCGGCCATGTCCGGAGACATGGCAACCAGTGTGCCCGCGCGAAGATCTCTAGTTTTTCCACGCTCTGTATATCAGCACATCAGCGATCCACACGCCGGAAACTCCCTTCACATGGAGGAGGACGCTCCGGAATCACCAGTCAGTCTCCACGACCATGGAGGTTGGTTCAAAGGATATTCGAAAGTCTCATACTGCGGAACGAGTCCTGCTTTCCGATGTCCGGAAAACAATATTATTCATGTTATGGAATGTCGCCTGGATGCGATCGCCAGGGATGACGATATCGATGACATTTCCTCCATGATATCAATGTGAAGCATTCTGTGAAATGGCTTCGAGTCCTGGACAGCCCTGCTTGTCACCGCTATTGTGTTCTGCCTCGACTATTCCGTCAGGCGCGAGCATGTTCCAAATCAACATCACCGTAAGCGTCGCGTCGTCGTCAGTGCCACAAACCACGATTGTTGTGCCCAAAGCCCAGCTCGGACGGTGATTGCCCGCTCTTGGCAGGAAGGGCTCATAGCGATTCGATCTCGAATCGAGCAAGCTCTTGCACCACTCGCATATCTTTGATTGGCGACGGACTGCGTCCGAGCACCCCAACTCCGTGTTCGCGAGAATCATGTGAACCACCGAGGCTCGAGTAGAAAATTACTATTATTGGCCGTCGATCGCGTTCCTATTTTCGGAGAGACCGACGATGCGCCTTTCAGGACTTGCGAGAGGAATCCGTCTTGTCATTCTGCCAGAGCTCCACTATTGTCTAGCTCGTGCATGACGCTCATGTCGGACTGTCACATGGGTCGAGTTTTCGATCCGTCCGCCGACTACTTTTCGGACGCTTGGCTGATTCCTCGACTGGGAGGCTTCGGAGCCGAGTGACTTATCGGCCGGGCGAAAGAGCTGGCGTTTCTGCGGCATGACGTGCGGATTTCGTTCCTGTCAGAAGGACAGGGCCACCGGGAAGACCGGTAACAGTATTCCATCGATTCCGCTGAAAACACAGGAAGCCGCGACGTATCGTCTAGCGAGACCATGGGGATCGCAACGACTGAACCTGAAAAAAAGTCGACGCTGGAACCGTCCACGAAGAACTTCAGTGGAGAATTCGACCTCGAAGATGGAGCCGGGAGTCCCTGATGCCAGAGATCTCGGATGACCCTGTAGTTTGACCTCGCCGCGCTGATTCCGTCTACGGTGATAAAACGACCGGAATAATTGTTGACTAATTATATTTGGCCAGACATAATATAATGATGTTCACAAAGAGAGTCGAGCGCACCGAACGGGTTTCGAATGAGCCCCAAGTACCAGGTCTTGTATTTTGCGATCATCGACGATCGCATTCCCGAACAACGCGAAATTGGTCCGCTAGATATCGCTTGCATTAAATATTTCTCTCCTCCACAGATCACGGAGATATCGCCAAAGATCTAGCCAAGAAGGTCCGTCTTCTGTGTTTCGTTCTCACGTCCCCACAGACCCACTGGTCAAAAGCCGCTCACGTGAAAGCAACGTGGGGGAGACGCTGTGATCATCTGCTGTTCATGAGTTCTGTCAAAGACGACAAGCTGCCTTCGATTGCGCTCCCTATCGGCCACGAGGACCGAGAGCATCTGTGGGAGAAAACGAAACTATCCCTCAGTGAGGTTCGTGATTTCGTAGGAGGTTGACTATTCTGATTTTGAATGGAAGACATTTCGGGCTCTTCAAGTTCCATACCGATTCCGAAGAGGCGCCAGACAGGAGGATCCTAGTCGAATAGCAAAAGCTTCGTAACGGCGATGAATCTTATGATATCGGGCCAGGTCTGCCCTTGGATAATTCAAGCTAGCGTTCGATAGGGATCCCTCACGAATCCGCTTCGCACTGGATATCGGCGATCGATGCATGCATGCCTGTCCGTTCTCTTAGCGACACTCGGAGCATCGCTGAATCGTTCGCATGCGCTTCCATGGAGCTGTGCATTTAAGCGATGACAATCTTCCACGCGAATCGGTACGGGCCCCGACTAAGATGTTTGTTCGCTGTTCCCAGATTTACGACAACTATCGCGACAAAGCGGAGTGGTTTCTCAAAGCGGACGACGACACTTACATCGTGGTCGAGAATCTCCGCTATTTCCTCAGCGGCCAGAACTCGTCTGATCCCATTTATTTCGGACATCGGTTCCGTCCCTTCGTGCCGCAGGGTTACATGAGTGGCGGCGCTGGCTACGTGATGTCAAAGGAAGCACTTAGGAGGTGAGATTCGGTTTCATACCTGATATCGGAGTGCCGAAAAATCTACTGGCTATCCGAGAAATCTTCCTGGATGAGAGAACCCGATTCAACGAAAGCTAGAGAATCCGGAGCGAAGGAAATATAAGGCTTCAGGACACGCAACACATTAAGCATATGTCGCGTGATCCCGGCTCGCTAATCACCTTCGGCCAGAGCCTCGAAGTCCGCGGGCCACTGAGATCTCGGAACGCGTTCTTTGTTTCGAAAGTCTGGTCGGATCGAGGCGCGGACCCTGCACTAAGAATGGCTTTCCCTACGGAGAGGAGTATCCGATGCCTGGGCTTGCTACATTTTTTTCCCTCGGCCCCATGGGAGGGTTCTAAATATAGCAGGGAAGTTGCCCGATTCAGAACTTCCTCAGTGGACGTTACCCGATCACTCGCGAAGGATCTCTGTATGCTCACAAAGCCATGGCTCTATCTCTGACAATCGGGAGGCCTGGGACGTATATGTACGATTGCATTGAGGGTTTGTTATCGGTCGCGGGTATCCTTAATATAGCCGAGGAGCTCGCTGTTGGGCAGATTGCTACCAAGAAAACATCAACATATCCCATCTGGGAACCATATCGATCGCAAGAGATGCTTGTCCATATAAAGCCTTCTTGGGAAGTCGCGAGATTTGGAGCGCTCATAATTGACCCCCTCTCCCGATTTTCTTTGATCGGAGTCGCGACTTGAGCTCTGCTTCGGCCATTCGCGTGTCGATTTTTCCGGAGCAGATTTATGTTACGATCATGGATAACGAGCGCTTCCTGCTCATAATCACGACCTGTCTGCTCAGAAGTATGTTATCTACGATATGTCATTCCTGTCTTCATTGGGAAGAGTGCGTCGGGAGACTGAAGGACTGCTATCGACTTGGCGTCGCGACTCAGCTATTGATTGGACAATCCATCGACCATTGGGTCCACGAGATTCGTGATGGGATTCTAAAATCGAATTTTGCGAATCCTCAGATTTGTTGAAGACGGCTTACGGAATGAAAACACCAAATGCCGCCGCGATCACAAAGGAGCTGAGGATGTTGAGCTGGGAAAGTGTTTCTACGACCTGGGGATCGCGGCAGGTGATTCCCGCGACGAAGGAGGTCGCGGGAGATTTTTCCCTCTCGCGCCCGAAGCTCACATCATACCGGGCCACATGCCGCCAGATTTCTGGTTCTGGAACTACACCTACTACCCTGCAAAAAATGTTCGTATCCTTCGCTCCCCGCTCCCCCCTCCGGGAGGGGACTCGAAAATAAATTGCATCACCCCAGTTTCGACCGACCGCTCGACCGATTCTTCAATTAACTGACCATTCTCTCGTTACAGGGCATGGATTGTTGCTCCGACACGGCGATATCATTCCACTATGTATCACCGAACATGATGTATATCATGGAGTATTTATTGTATCACTTGCGACCTTTCGGCGTCGATCACTATATCGCACCTGTCGATAATCCACTGCGAGGTGACCCGAAGGACAGCGTTCAACTCAAATCGTGATGAAAGTCATCGGAAGCAATTCCGTTTTTCATGTTGTAAAGCAACAGAAACATACGTGCAACTAGTCCAAACTTAAAAGCCAACATCAAACAATTGTGCTCGCAAGTCATCGAGTTTCGGGTTCCTCTCGATTCCCCCCGAAGGGATGAGAAGATGCGAGCGAGAGAGACAGTGAAAATGTCTTTCGGAGAGAAATGACCAGAGAGTATTGGTTCTGCTCCTGAACTCGATTTTCAGTTCGAGAATCCCTTACGGGATTCGGGCGGAGGAACGTGGTTCGGCTCGTTCTCAAATTTCCGTCGTCCACGTTTGTGCTCCTTAGCATCTCTAACGGCCAGGATGTCATCCAAGTGTTTCATTCCGGAGACTTTGTGATTCACAAAGCCAAAATTCCCGGGCTCGTCCTCTCGACTTTTATCCATCGTCCTTCTCCCTGTGTAGCACCGGAGAATGACTGCCGAGGCCCCGATTCCAAAAAAAATATTTATCATTTCATTTTACTCATTTAAAGTTTTTTCCAAAAGATAGAATACTTGGAGATTCCAATGGGCGTGAGGGTCTGAGCTCCTCGCGAGGCAGGTCAGAAACTTCAAAGTTTTAGGGAAAAATTATTTTCGATAGCGGTTTTGACATTCGAGGAAACTCGTTCGCAGCTGAAGGAGCACGCTGTATATAAAGCTGAGGCCCAGCCACAAGGAGTTCAGTTTCTTCTTCGAGACTTCTCTTACAATCAGTTGGATCTGGCGGGAGAAAGCCATGTGCTTCATTCCGAACTGTATCGACGCAGCTGCCTGAGGTTCCTTGCGTTCCGGTCCCAAACTTATCCACCCATTATTCTTGTTGAGTGACGACCAACGTGCCAATGTAAATAGAGATGTCGAACCGAATTCTAGCTCGCCTGTATGTATTAATTTATCGAGTCCCAATTGACTGATCCGTCGATCTGCCGGATTGACGAGGAAAACTGTGAATAAACTTCAAAGTTCTGAGGAGATGCGTCTGTCTTTTGTTGTAGTCATGGAATTCCGGGGATCCGGGATCTCGACTGCGAGCTGCCGGGAGTTTATCACATGAAATCGAACCCTCGGGGCCCTCGTTGAAACGATTGATATAGCAAGTTGTAGCTTGTGGCACTCAACCGGTCTCGAGAGATCCCGTGTCGACTATCGACTCATCGCGGAGAGGAGCGTCGCGGAGTCCCGATCCCTAGACCGTTTGACATGCTGCCCCCAACGCGTTCCTGAGAAGCGAACTCCATCTGATCGGACTTGCAAGGATTGCGCTTTCAGTCGGGGGTCTCGCGGTGACCAGCTCCTGCGGTTATGGAGGAATGACCTTGGAAGCGAAACCTACCAAATGACATTCTCCTTGGGAGGGCTGAATCTGGCGCTCGGCTCCTGGGTTCGAGTTCCAGGATTCCACAGCCAGGAAGAGCGTTGTTCAGTCGATCTCATCAAGAAACAAACGAAGGCTGTCACAAAGCAGCATCGTGAAAAATGAGCTTCGGATTCGTTTCTGGAGGTCGCACGATGCAAATGCTCTGTGAATTCGGACTCGATGGTGAGCGCTGCGCATTACTTCATGGCGCGGTATGACTCGGACGGGACGTCGGGATCACTCATCCCTTCTGTCTGAAAATGTTGAGATATGCGACGGGAAAGAGTAGTGACTGGTCGTCGAGCATCAGTAGAATAAAGTTTACCACAGATGTTGACGTATGTGCGTCGTAATAGCTCCACCGCTCGGAGCGGGCTGCAGAGCGCGGAACGCGAAGGGCAGTAGATCTGTCAAGCTCAAGCGCAAGCTTTTGAGAGACCGATATCAAGGTCGACTCCTTGTTTATTGGACTGGTCAGGGCTGAACCATGAGTTTCGAAGCGACGTGCTTAAAATCCCACACCTAGAGCTGAGGCGCGGAAGTACTGGGATCTCGATGGTGGGAATCTAGAAAATCAGGCGGTAAGGGAACGAACAAGCGGGGGGGGGATTTCTGGATGTCCCGAGCGGAGTCCAGATCTTAAATTCGGCCGCTGAAGAACTTCCTCAACACCCATCAATCAGGTCTCTCCGACTCGCCTTTGGGTTGAATAAGCGGAATACTACGATGAGGTTCCAATCGATGAATCGAAACATCCCTCCTCGAGCTTGAATTGACGATCATTACTATGGGCAGGTACCTTTGTCACGCGAAGTTATGCGACGCCATAACAAATATTATATAAGCGTTTCGATCGACAGGCGAACAAGCGAACGAGGCGGCGGTAGAGCCCGTGAGCGAGACAGTGGCAGCGTTCGGAAAAACGTCTGGTGGTGTTTTCCGCCGCAGCTGTATTCCAGCTGAAGGATTCGTCAAGGATCCCAAGGACTTCTGATCATGCGGACCCCGTGACCGGTAGACGCGCAACCACCATCGCGATCGAATGAACCACCGCAGACAACTCAACTAGCCAGTCAGCCATCGATCCAGCCAGCCATTCATTCAGGCGAGCGCCACCTTTCAGAGCTGACGAGACGCCGGCGAGCGAGCGAGTGAGCGCCGTTCATCCGTCGAGCAAGAGAGCGCATCAGATAGTGCAGTGTATATACCACATAGTGCAGCAAGGCGACTTTTTCTCGACCCGTATATCAGTCGACTAAAGCTCGTTCCGACCGGTGCCCCTCTTCTGTTTACCCCGACGACGAAGATGTTTGTGGTTTCGAAGCCGGTTCTGCGCTGACTGTTCACCGGATCAAGTGTCAAACTGGACCAACGGAAAGGCTCACTGGGCCTGGCGGGCCGAATCGACGCAGTTCCCATCGCAGGAATACCTGCGAACGCTCGCGCCGCTCCCGATTCTTCCCAGCTTGTTGTTGGAGGGTGCGGTGATCATAAAATCATTCGTGGTTAGAGGTCTTTGTGAAGCCAAAAGAAGCGTGACAGCTCGATCGGTCTCAGTCGCGATCACGAATTCCGCCGAAAATTCGCTTCCATCCCCGGGCGCCTTGTGACGGTCGACGGCTCGTGTCTACTATTTGGATAGACTCATTGAAGACCCCTCCGCTGAAATCGATGCATTCGTGAGGTAGTGGTGCGCTGGCGAGAAACCCGCGCTGAACTTCTGGAGAGGAGGCCGTGCGGCGTTGGGGTCCCGATCGGTCTCATCGAATTCGAGCCTCTGGCCATTCGGACCTCACCGGCTTTGTGACTGAAGGTTTACGTAAGTTCCCGAACTTCAGCGTCTGCTTCGAACACCGGTGAGTGAACTCGCATGTCCGTCGAAAATTCTCGTTCCTTCATGGCTGCAAAGCTCGGAAAAGTCGGAATTTCCATCTCGCTGTTTTTTTTTAACTCGGCTTCACGCTTGGAAGCTGATTTCCCCCGGAATTCCCCTATTGGCGGAGGATATGACCGTGGTGTACACTCATGTGGAATTTCTCGGAACCATCGAAACACAGAAAACTCCGAGATCCACGGAGTGTCCGTTCTACCGTGTGATTGAAGTTATCAAAGTGTTACGAAACGGACGGGATCTGTCGCATATCAGGCCTGTCGAGGCCAAACACGCGGCGTCTCGACGTAGCATTGAACCCTACAGGTTGGAACAGGTGCTTGTTAGGCTCCACAGAAAAAGAGCCAACATGATCTCGAAGCGAGTCGATTCGGATTAGGGGAACAGCTCAGCCGCGTTGCATTGCTCCGACCTGGGAATGTGAATTGATTGAATTCGCATTCAGCAGCGAATACTTGGATTTTTGCAGCACGATGAAGCTAGACATCGGGACTGATCTAAATCAATGGATGCGTAAACTCATCCATTCGAGGAAACTCAAGGGCAACCATCCCAATAGAGTGGTCAGCGACGAAAAGAAGCCGGTCAGCGAGAAGAGTCCTGAATTTGCGAGGCACGGCTCACTTGCTGAAGATGACCTTGACCATGGCCATGGCGAGAGAAAAGTAAGAATTCTAAGTCTCCGCGATTTCCATCATAAGTTTTCCGAACCTGATTGTCGGGACCACCTCAGACGATGCAGCCAGTATTTCATCTTCGCCGCGAGAAACCAGACCGCTCGTTGGAGATCGGAAGTGGCCGGCACTGGATTCAGGACCAGCGAGTCCTCCGATCCGGCCTGAACCCTCGGTCCGGAACTCCTCGATACCGAGAAGGTGCTTTCGATTTCGTTTCCCAGAACCTCGGTCGGTGGGGCTCCGCATCCGACGCACTGGCTTCCGTGTTAATATAACTTCAATGATCGAACAACGCGTAGCCACCTCCTTCTTTTCGGAGAAATACGCTCGGGTCTGATCCATCTTTTCATTCAGCTCAAGCTCAGCCCCGTCATAGAGAAAAATCCCGGTCTGCGCTCGCGTACATCTCCGCATCGTACGGGTTACGAGGACAGTGATTCTTAGACTCGAATTGGTGTTTTTCAGACTCTCCGTGCCCATTCGGCTCTTTCGCAGGACCACGAAGTACTCAACGACGTAACACCGTCAAGCCTCCGACTAGTGATCCACTCGACTCTCAAAGCTCAGAGCGCTGAACCGACTCAGGTTCTGGTGATCCGCGGCGAACACAATAGCTTCGAAAAAAAGCCGCTGTCGGCCCACAAAGTGAAGTCGCTGGAAAAAGCTTGCCCCTCGCTAAGACAACTGGTAAGGCGGCTGGTAGTTGAGGTGAAAACGAGCCATCGATAAGAGCTTTGTCCAGATATCAACAGCAGTGAGCGAGGACCAGCGGAACATCACGAGTCTGTGGGAAGTCTTGGAACGGTCTCGTGAGAATTGTTCTCTTTCGCAGGCGATCGAAGATATTAACATGAGCACCAATCAACGGAGAAAGCGGATTAGTTTGGCTCATTTTCCCACAACTTTATGCTTGCTCTCGATTCGAGACTCGATCATCGAAGTTGGAACGTTCCTCAAGTCGTCGCATGACTTCTACAATATCAGAGTCCTTGATCTCGGGAGAAGTCTCGACGTTCGAAAAACCGATGCTGCGTGGCCACCCATGGCCAACGTCGAAGAGCTCTACCTCGATGGAACACAGGGTTTCGGAAGCGCTGACTTCTTGCAAACGATACTAGTCAATTGTCCTCTGCTCAAGGTCCTGGATCTGGAAGGGAGCGATATTGGTCCCGAGTCGCTGGAGCTCGTGGCGAGACTGGCCCCCCAAGTTGAGACACTCTACCTCGGCTTCACGGGGATCCAGGACATTAATTTCATCCACATGGAGCGCCAAAAGATGAATCTGCGATGTCTCCTGACGTTGTGTCTGGCCGACACGCAGGTCAGCAACTGCGGTCTGGAGTCCCTACGAAAAGTGGCGCCGAACTTGCGTAATGTGACCGTAAACGGTTTCACCGTGACGCACACCGAGAACCCGGAGGATGTCTTTCTACCCTTGCGTATCCGCCGCACTTGCAACGTGCATATCGGAGCGGTTTTCCGGAATCACGGTTGTGGCCACTTCAAAGAAGCGCATCGCCTGCAGTCTTGATCCAGGACACTACGTAGCTCACATCATTGATCGCCTTAGGAACAAACTCTAGCCAAATCATGCCTCCATTTATGTATGTTAATACGATGACCGATGACCATTGAGCATTACTCACAGATGTCATGGGAGTTATCGATTCCCGAGTTGCTATAGGACAGAACCATCGATATCTACGACAGAAGAATCGTGTGAATTGTCTCTATCGATGCGGTACACATCATGTCTCTTCTTTGATCGATATTTCGAGAGGGCGCCCCTGCGCGGAGCGTTCTCTTCCCCCGGAACCGACGCCGACGCTCGGCGGAATACGTTGGGAGCAGATCTACGACAGTCGCTGCGCGGGACGGCGCAAGACGTGTCCTGCTTGGGACGATCGGTCGTTTTCGGGAAGCCCCTACTGCATCATACCGAAGTATCGAGGTGAATCCGCGAAAGCGAGCATCGCCCGTCGCGGCAGCTAAGACCGTCCAAGCGCGGCGTCGGACCTTGACCGCGACAGACGTCGAAATCAGGGAGCTCTCTAGCTTTCCAGAGCATAATTTGGAAATTCCCCATCGAGACCCTCGAGAGTGTCCGCAGCAGGCACAATCACATAACAAACATGGCCAAGTCAGCTTCCCAAAAACTAGGTCCTCCCAAAAACTCTTCAGAGCCAAACGTTTTTTTCTCCCTCTCACCTTCTTTTGCTCTATATAACCCAAATCCGTCCCTATCTCGAGTACCGCTCGCATATCTGGGGTGAAGCCGCTCATTCATCCCTCTCTATCCTAGACTCTATTCAAAAAACGTGTTATCCGTCTCATCGGTGATTCAGCCATATCCTCTTCTTTTGAATCTTCATCTTCACGTCGTAACGTTACCGACCTCTGCCCATTTTATCGGTACTTCCATGGAGAATGCTCAGATGAAATCTCTTCCCTCGTTCCCCCTATTTTGGCCCCCGCCCGTGTAACTAGAAAGAGTACCAAGCAGCATCCCTACTCCGTCATCCCTACTTCCCTCCAACCGTACTGCTCAATTCACCTCCACATTTTTCTCCCTCACATCCCGTCCATGGAATGCCCTTCCCCTATATCGGAATTCGGATCGTATGATCCGAAACTCTTCAAATCCCCTCAGTCCCTTCATCTCCCCTCAGGTAAAAAGCCATAGGTTTTTTTAGTGGGTATTACTTACATGAGCCCCACACTCCAGTTGAATTTCCCACTCCTCTGGGTAGTGCGTCAATGCATTTTTTCCTATGGCTCTTTTACCTTCTCCTTCTACCGTCCCCTCAGTCCCCCTTCCCTTTTTTACACTCGCAGTTCCTTTTGAGAATCATAGGGTCACCCCTTCGCGAGCTGTTCCACCTAAAAAAAAGGCCGTATGTGGCAGGCTGTATGTGTAAGTTGTGCGGAGTAGGATTGGAGCTCTGGAAGGAACTTTCGTCGAAGCTCCCTCAGTAATTTCCTCGCGAGGTGCCTTGTAGAGCCGTGACGGACAAGAATGGGTGACTTCCTTTCGCTCAGGCCGGAACAATGGTAGACCTCGGAATCGAGTGACTTCCAAGACGGATGCGGGAGCTTCGGAAGAAGAAGATTCGACCGATTCTCCAGGCTTGACCCTCCTCCGGAGTCGACCGGGGAAACGTCGGATCCGTCCCTCCTGAGTTTCAGGGGCGACGAGGTTCCGGGGACCAACAGCAAGATCGGTTTCAGAGTCGCGATGATCCTCGTATTGGCTTATAGCCTTATCGCTCCAGCATTCTGGTGGGTAATCCTCAACGGATATAGCTCTCCGAATTGGGCGCTCATCCCGTGAATTCCTGCAGTAGTAGGTAATATGCTGGGAATCCGGAAGATAATTCCTGCTGGAAATCCCTACCGGGAATCCTGGCCGACAATCCTCTCTGGAAATTTTTGCCAAGGGCCCAAATATGCCGTATACGGCTCAGAAAACTCACGCGTCTCCAGAATCGTAATGGACGACTTTACCGTAATCGATCATCAGGCCGGAACGTTAATCGAGTCATTCTCGAAGTATCAATAGGAAATCTGGCGCCCCTGGAATATCGTCTCCATGCAGATCCACAGGGCGCCCTTCACGGCAGAGAAGCGCTCAGGAGTTGGGAGGGTTCATCGTGATGCCTCATAGCGCACGATCCCATCCTCTTGGCTCAGAGTTTTGAAGAAATGCTGGACATCTGCGTCGACGTTTGCAGTCGGACATTGATCGACCGCCTTTCAATGGGTTCGATTCTCCTGGAGGCAGCACGGTTTCGGAACGACATCAGCTTCCTCACGGAGCCGAGCAGCGAGTACGAAGCATTCCTGTTGAAACTCCCCACGGCGCTGTCGTCGAGCTTCGTCAAAGAGCCTAAGCATAAGGTCGTATTGTGACCACCGGTCAGCCGAGACATTCAAGCGCGCGCTGACACGCTCTCGACGACCTGCAAAGAGTCAGAGGGGAGTTCCGAAACCTCGAAAGACTCGGTAAGATCAGGAAGTCATGCAGCCCTCGGTCAGGTCCATTCCACGTAGTCCAAGAGGCGGATGGCACTAGCTACGAGACCTTGGTGGGGATTCCCGTCGGGCCAACGATATGACAGTTCCCGACAGATACCCACTCCCTCTCATCCATGGATCCGCCGCAAATCTCCACGGCTGCACTGTCTTCCCAAGGATCGATGTGGTTAAGGGCTATCACCAGATTCCAATGGCGCCGGACTCCCGAGGAATATTCCGGAGACGGCCATCACCACACCTTCGGGATCTGGGAATAAAACAGGGATGCCCTGTGGTAGGCTCTCCACTACACTACTTTCGGATGAATCCATGCCGTCGATGACTCTCTTGTATCCAGAGTTCACCCATCGGCTGAACTCGGCCACCAGCTCAGTCACAGGCTTCGGGGGAATGGACTTCGGGGACCTTTCCCCGAATGGAGCACGTGCGAATCGACCTCGAGCTTCCCTCGTCGCGTGTTGCCTCTGCGACAGCGGAACCAAGGATCAGATACGGAACGATGGTTTCGGATGAGCAAGAGCCATCATCCTCGTGCACGGCCCATCGAGACCAGGAGACGAGATGCTTTCGATGAAACTCTGAGCTCTAGGCGGGCACTCGCTGAACTTATATTTATAGAATTCCTAAGCATCATTTGCTCTCCCCGTCCACGTCTACAACAATGGAGATAGCTCATTGGCTAGAAGCAAAGAACTCGGAGTCCACGCGAGTTCCGAGGAATTAACTTTATGCATGAGATCGAGGAAGAGCCCAGTTCGCGAACGGTACAGACTCGTTGTGGCGATGCTTCCCCGCAAAATCCCTCCTGAAGCCATCATAAGCTCGTTAGCCTTGCCGTTGTATTCAAAAACGCTAGAAAAGTCGTGAGCCTAATCCACCAGCATTATTTCGAACTGAATGTCGAGCGCAGCTCAGCTGATCGCTCGTCTTTCCGAAAGAATCCAAGGTCAAACTTCTCTCAAGGCGTCGAGTCGACGCCTTCGTTCACGGTCGTCAACAGATAGGACACCAATCCTTCAATCATAATCGCTGGATTGGGCATGACGTCTGGTTCGCTCTTGAGACGCCCGATCGGTTTTACGTAACCATAGCGAGAAGAATCATAGGTCCGCCAGCGAGCAGAGCGACTAAGCCGACAGGCATCTGACCGAGTATACTGCTTGTGCCAGGAGGAGTGTGGAGCAATCTCGTGGGAGGAGTCGCGGGAGGGTCGTCGGTCATTATACGTGATCCAAGTTCGGAGCTTCATTTCGTTTCGTCGTTCGTTCTTTCGTTTGCTCGTCTCTCCACAGCAAGGGAGACGGCTGGTCGATTGCAATCAGTCGATGACAGCATCGTAAGAGGAGTTACCGGCAGCTCACTCAGGGTCCAGAGCCGGGTAGACGGGCGGATGATCGAGTATGGATCGGTCAAGCAAAATACCCCGAGTCCGTCGACGGCGTTACGTCCTTGTCTGTCGGCGCTCGTTCCTGTAGTGCCCGCGATAGTTTCCATCGGAGTCCGGGCCACCCGACCACCGTCATCGGTCGCAGCGCTCGCTCGGTCCGAAGTTCGAGAACGAACCGGTCAAGAGAAGCTTCTCTCCACTTTTCGGAAGGCCGTAGCAGTCAGCTAGTCAGTCGCATCGCTGCATCATTCAAACAAAGATGGCCGCTCGCAGCAAGAGGTCCGCTGACGAGCGGAGATTGGCAATTTTACGAGAAATTGCAAATGAAGGAGCTAACAGAAACTGTTTGGAGTGTCATCAGCGAGGTCCCACCTATGTCGACATGACTATAGGCTCGTTCGTTTGCACCAAATGTTGTGGATTGCTGTGAGTTCGAGTTTTCGGAATCCCCATAGTGCGACCCGGACTGTCTCTGGCGACAGTGTCTGTGCTTCTCTCAGAGCGGAGTTCCGTGCAGTTCCGCCACGGCCGCCGCATACCTGATGACAAGTTCTAATTCATATCTTTCGGATGTGTTGGTGCCCCCCAGCGCCGCTGTGTCTCCGTAACCTCGAGCAGCCCCGTGTTTGCGAGTTGTCCCTGATCGTAGAGGGCTCCGGGTGCGAGTCCGCCTGTCTTCGTTCGAATGTTTGACACCACGAAGTGACTCGCTTGACGCCGGCCCGAATTTGATTTCGAACCGGTGCTTGAGGTTGTCGACAATGAGATCGATGATCTGCTCGCCCGCGACCGACATGATTGTCCTAGAGCTTCACGTATTGGAGATATCCACGTAGCTTGTGCTCCTACCCCAATTCCCATTCGCAGAAGCTCTCGTTCAGACACGACGAGGAACTCCGACCGAAGCTTAGTGATTTGATTTCTTTGATTCACAGACGAGGTCTGAACCCTCCACACCGGACCAAGTCGATCACGATGACGAGTTTCACGGACGAAGAAATCGATTTCATCAGAAATCGTGGCAACGAGGTGAGTATCCCGGTGATTGTATCATACGATTGCTTTTGCTGCATCTCCCGCGGCCCGATATAATCCCCTCGCTGACGTTATTTCTGCGGGACTCTGCCTCTCGCGTGAAATTTCGGCAAGTGTCCTGGATATAACCGACAGGGGGTCTTCAAATGAACGGCATCGTCAACAGATGGCGGCCTTTGCCGCGAGCACCTGCCCGCGGAACGCGCATTCTCGACACTCGATGGCCCCACGAATCGGTCTATTGCTATTCGTTCTGCCTAATGGGGGGCGAGATTAGGCAAGACACTCCGAGAGATTGCCACCGTCATTGGACCATCGCACTAGAGCCGTGGAGACCCTCGTGACGCGCTCTTTCTGATGATTGATTCCAAGTTCCTAATTTTTTTTCCAAAGCGCTGATTGTCGTCTACCCGAATCCGGCTGCATTAGGTCACGAGGCTTATCTGTACCCGAATGGAGCCGTAATCCCTACTAGTTCGGCTTCTCTGAAATTGTACAGATGAGTGCGCCGAACTATTCTGGGAATTGTGACGTTAGCTTCCGATCGCCCTTCCGCGCGTTTCCATACCCACCGATAGCTGTCGATTCTTAGACGTATCCGGGTGGAAGTGCTCGTTTCCGTCGTCGCCCGGTCGTTCTAGATGTTTCGCTCCTCGCTCAGTTCCTCAGCGAAGAAAGTCTCGATTAAATCCGACGGGCGTTGATCGGAAGATAGGCGACCGATTAGAGAGATTCACAATTGCCAGATTTGGTCCGACCGACCGTAACGATACCGTCGTGATTCAATTGTGGGCTATTTAAGGACGGCAGAGAGCCAAGCTCGTGTTTCCGATCAGTTTCGCGATGGATTTCCTCCGAGCCTTTCCTTTTCGGTGATTACGTCATCGAAAGCATTCAGATTCAAATCCATCGAGTTTATCGGGTGGCGTTGAATCAACGGGAGGATTACGATCCGGGACACACAGAGCGGCAGGGCAGACTCTCACAATCCCTAGAAGAACCTTGATCCGCAGAATCCGAATACCGATTTTCGATTATTACCTCATGCGAGACGCTTGCCTCAGACGTGACTTCGGCTATTCAAGCATCGAGACTCCTCGCACACCTGCACCTTTTTCGGGAATATTTTCGAGAGAATCATCTTCATCGGCGGTCTCCTCTAGCGTGTTGACTCCTCTGCGCATGGCCGGGAAAACTACCTTCTGGAGCAGGGCACGGAATATTCTTTCGCTCGAACGACTTTTCCAACCCCTCTTCCCCTCTTCGAAAGATGTCCGTGCACCTGAGGTCATCTCATCCTCTTCTACTCTTTGGTTCCGGGGATGTCTGTTTTAGGTTTCTTCACGATTCAGTGGAGTCGATCTCCAGTTCGTCGCCCCTGGCATTTGAGTCGAGGAACCCCTCTCAGTGGGCCCATTGTCTCGGTCGCTGTCTTAATCTTTACGTAAACACCAACGTCATCCGGAGAGAAACTTGTCGAGGCCGAATTCGCTTTGAGGAGGCCTCCGGGCTAGTCAAGGCCGCAGTTCTAGAATCCAAGGCAAACTCCCAAGGTTAAGGTTACATCGATTCGAAAGCAAGGTTGAATTTTGACAGTCAAGGTTTCACCGCTGTGAGCGAAAGAGAAAAATATTGCCGTTCTAGCACAGATATGTGTCGCACAGAGAAGCGCTCTCCGCAATGAATGATATTCGCTTAGAAGAGCAGTATCTCAAACGCGCTCCAAGAGAAGGGAAACGAGTGATTTTGTCAAGAGGGAACTCCAAATTGCCATTCTCCCCAAGACGGAGCAGGAATGCTCCAACGGAGGATTTTCCAACAGCTCTGAACCATACAAGGATCGGTCGCTCGAAGTAATTTTCGTGGGGTTGGTGACGTCCGAGGGTAAGGATGGATGTCTCAAGGCTGACATCGACAGCCTATCTGTTGAGTTCAGGTGAGGCCGTCCTCTTCGAAAGACGAACTCTCCTCCCTCCGAAAAAAATGCGGGCCCAAATATTCTTCGGCGTTAAGGCTCATCGAAGCTCCATCGTGGAGCGCCGATATGTCAGATCTGTCCACCGCGCACCTCTCGTCCAATTCTGAGATCTCTACGCGCTACCGTCGATGACACCCTGACCACTCTGCCGAACGACCCCGGCTCCACCCTGCGTTTTCAACCACTATCCACAGAGAGTAATTTGATCTATAGAGGCTCTGCTCGTCGAAAACTGCCAAAATGTGCGATGACGAAAGCTGACTGCTCCCTTTTGAGCACTGACATGAGCTCTGGAGTTGAGAAATGCGCCCATTCCTCTACAGAATAATACGAGCTCCGTTCGGTATAAGCGGCGTATACAGGCTTATTATGTACCCGTATACATACATCCGCACGGCTTGATGCGGTTTGAGCCCCCGACAGCTCGCGGAGGAGCACCCGATTCGATGCAGCGCCGCTCTCCACTCATCAGATCGATGAGGCATACGTATGCGGAGAGCATTCGCCTTCTATTTCTGACTCAGAGCGGAAACATTCGCTCGTACCGTTCCTGATCTAACTATCCATGTGGGCCTTGAGAGGGTTCGAGGACATGCCTTTGAATGTCCATCTGACGTTGGGCACGCTCCGTGACGAACAGCTCATTCGCTCAGTTGATTCTAGGAAGGCTTGGGACGTCGCGGCCGTCTCGACGCGCATCTCTTCGGTTCCGTACGTCGGATTTTCAACCTAGCTGCTTGGCATTGGTTGCTTCAGTGGCGTGACTCGAAAACGATTGATATCCCCCAATGTCTAAGGATGGACTCATTCGAAACATTCCGGGCCGTCGAGGGAAGAAACAATGTAGAGCCCCATTATGCATGAATGCGGAGTATCTCTCTGGGAGATTCTCGTTCACGTCAGGGAATGTCTCGGCCCCTCCGTGGTTCGTCTATCATTTTATTTGCGATCATTCTGTGCAAGCTGTGGCAAGAGTCTGCTGTACTGCTCCGTCGCTCGGAGACTCTATGCCGAGACTACATGTCTAGCCTTATTACAACGCGAGAAGCCCTTTGAGGGGAGCTTTGTCTCAAAAGACCAAATCCCATCGCATGAAGCCGGCGGACGGTCCTAATTTCTCATCAATATCTGAGGAGATCACTTTCGTCCGGGAGAAGGAAGTGCTTTCTAGTTCTAGAGTTTCTGCGAACATCCGGGGGACTGGGCTGGGGAAAAAGGAGTGGGCGACTGTAGGAAACGAAAACTCTGGAAGCCAAATATTGAGCTCGCGGTTTCTCTTCACGGACGGAAAATAATATTTACCGTCTGCGGGTTCGAAGTGCGTTGCCCAGCCCTTTCGGGGTCCCGATCAAAGATTCTTTGGGGGCGCATCAACTCGTGGCCCGTCGTTACGATGCGTCGCGAAGGTCCATTGATAGATCAGCGGCTCTTTTGAGTCACCCGACCACATGCCTTTTTTTGATGACGAATGAGCCCGCTCCTTACAACGACCGGCAAATCGTCTCTCAAGCCGACATTTAACCCGTACGTTCCGTCCTCAGTTCAATCGGTACGTTTACCTCGGGACATATGACGAGAGATCTAATTTGGAAAAGGAGAGCCTGAGAGAAGACCACAAGATTCGTGAATTTCTGGTGCAGAAATACGAACGTAAGAGGTGAGTACAAAGGAACGAACGGACCGAGTGTAGATTTTATCAATTCATCCTACCTCCTGTTTTGACTCTGTGAGCTTTGCTGGGAAACCATTAGGGAGCTCGTTTCCCCACTCGATCGGATGGCGACCGTTGGGGAATCAGAGACTCTCGCTTAGGCTCGAGGTGTAAGACATGATATTTCGTTTGTAAAGGCCTCGTCATGTTTCTCCTTCTAGATGGTTCGTAGACCCAGAGATCGCTCAACATAAAATGCAGCTGGACAGACGGCAGAAAGCTGCCGCCGAACAAGGCGTCAGTTTGACAGGAGGCTCCGTATCGATGCCCTCGAAACCACCCGCAACCTTCGCAACACGTTCACAGCCTGTGACTCCCGCAGGTGGAGAGCTCTGGTCGCCTCTCCCGAGCCACAGTGCAACGAGCACTTCATTCGCAGCGGATATGTTTGGCTTTTCCAGAGATCCCGCACCTATGGCCGTCGTGGGCCAACCGAAAAGTTCGACATCGTCTGTGCCTTCAAGGGACATTTTCGACCCCTTCCAATCGGCTTCGAGTCAAGCTCTGACGACAGCGATTTCGGCGCCACCGAAAGTGCAAGCGAAAGCGACTGCAAACGATTTCGCGGATTTCGAATCGGCATTCGGAGGACCAGCACCCGAAATTCCGCCTCCGGCGGTCCACAGTCAAGCCCTTCCGACAATGTTGCCAATGCGACCGACGACGGAAGCGGTTGTGACGAAAGACGAGCCCAAGACTCAAGTTCCTCAGGCGGACCGATACGCAGCACTCGCGGAATTGGACGAAATGTTTAGCGGACAGGTGAGGGAACTTGGCAATATGTACAGGAGCCGCTCGACGAATCGATAAGGCATCTTGAAGGCTTTCGTCAGGGGAGAGGATCGGTTGGAGGTCAGACGAAGCTCTCGATCGCGTTTGGAGTCTGATCTTTGATTTCGATTTCAGAAAACCGATACCTCCACAAACTTCGCTGATTCTGCGAAAGCGAGCGATCCATGGAATAATCAGCAAACGAGCGCGGGTGAGTTCTGCGATTACAAATAATCTCGCCGGGAAAAGTTTGACAAGGCGTGGGGCTTCGCTAATGGGAGCGCGTCGGTAGACCGCCTCGCTTTGAAACGCAGGTGAAAGATGATTTCGTTTTCCAGTTGTGCCCCCTTCGAATCCCTTTTCCCCCTCTGGACCGCTCCCGTCCTCGACGACATCGACGACAAACCCCTGGGGATCGCCAGCTGCGTCACAATCGAGCACCGCTGCAACGACGTCTCCGAACCCGTTCGCCATGGCCAACAAAAGTTGGGGTGGAACCTCCCCGGTGCTTAAGGATCGCATCACTCCGACCGGGGCCGTGATGGGTGTCACTTCGGGACTGGCTGGTATGCAGCTTAACGGCCAAATGACTCCCTCGAACGGTGGTTGGTCGAACGGAAGTCTCCCTATCGGATCGAATACTTTCCTTCAAAATACTCCTCGACAAGTTCAAAACGCCTTCCCGGTCTCGTGGGGAGCTCAGCCTTTCGTCCAAAACGGGTTGAAGCAACAGCAGCCGCAACCGGACAACTGGGCTGTTTTCGGCCAGCATCAGCAACCTCAGTGGCCTAACGGGTCAGCGACGACGCCATCAACGACAACGAATAATTGTTGGGCTGGAACGAACGGGGCCAATAGTACCAATTTCGCTGAGGTTTGGCCTCAACAGATTCCGAATAGCGCCTCCTCGCCCTCGATTGCCGCGCGTAGTACCAGTCCTACGGCAAACCCGACGCAACCAAACAAAGGTAGGCGGCCGGCCGCGATCGCCCCCCCCCCCCGGAATGTTCGAGGGTCTGGGGGAAATTTGGGAAGTCGGGATTAAGATGGGCAGCCCGACGTGAAGATATCAAAGCCCCCTTACGTGCCTTGTCACCCTAAGGAACGCCATTAGCCCGAAAAAATTCCACAGTGTCCTGACAGTGTGGAATTTTTCGCTCATCCTTTTATTTACTTTATTATAGAAGCCATTAGTTTCCTTAGATTTCATTAGATGAACGGAATTTCGGTTCTTGCAGTCCTACCACAATCTCTTTCGCTGCATTCCCCATTTGCTACATCAAACGGATCTAGTGGAATCTCTAACGGCTCAAGATACGTGAATCCGTTTGCTGCGGTAAGTAGATCGGAAAGCCACGAAAATTCGCCTTCAGACTACCATCGCGTACGATGACTTCTACATCGATCTGTGTCTCCCGTAAAATGGCACATGCCCACTGTGCCATAGGCATAAGTTGAAAATCCCGAATAGAGACCTCTCGACCCACTCGAGTGCTAAGCGATTCGAAACGGAATGTCGCGCATGATTTTTGGACGATGTCTTGACAAAGCGCATGTGCGTTTTGATAGAGCTGAATGTTGCTCTAATAGCCTGGCTGATAGGATGGAATATGCCAACTAAGCTGCGAGAAATATCAACGAGAATGAGTGCGAAGCTGAAATATGTGAGATCGAACGCGGAAATGGGCACAAAGCTAAGCGGTGGCTCGTCCGAGCATGCTCGGAGGCATGAAGTTCCCTCCTCGCTCTCGCATCAGAATCTAGGTGTGCTATCAGCTATCAGCCACGGCTACGAACCCTAATCTATTTCTTCTGTTTCCGATCTCTTACAGAATGGTGCCAGTGGGGTTTCAACCGCCGCCCGAGTCTGTTCAACAAGTAATCCCTTCCTGTGAGGGGCGAGATTCGACGAAAAATCGCTCTCTCTTGCGCAGCCATCTTCAATTATCTTTGTCCGAGACTAGGTTTCTGAGGTCAGCAGTATGATCGCCCTTCTTTCCTTCCTGCAGTCCAATCCCCATTTTGTTTACTCTATTGTTTGTTCTCACTCCGATATGACGTCTCTGTCTCTAGGGGGTTATTGTCTTACAAGTGCCAGCCATACTCCCCTCACATTGTCACAGAGTAGTCAGCGATTTTGTTGATTATCATTTAGGGAACCCTCTCGTCTCCCTTCTGCCACCGACTGCGCTGTATCTAATGAACAGATCTGGGATCCGCGATCCGTAATAAGGCTTCTGAGCGATGTTGATGTCGTCATCGGCCTTCCCGTCGGAAACTTGCGGACGGACTTCCGCGAGAACTTGAACTTTTGGATGAGCTGATTCGAACGGATCATTGGAGATGGCGATCGTCGACGACGAGGCTGACGACCTCTTCTACGAACATTCGAGAAATTCATTCTTAGTGAATTCCCTCTCATTTTCCGACTTCTTATTCCGCTGTTCATGTGCGACACAATCATAGCGACAGCAACGCGGCCTCTTAGTAGCGCCAACATTGTGTACAGTTCACATTTTTCGTATTGTGTTATGTATTTAAGAATCGGACGAATCGAGTGAGAGAAGTAAAGGCAAACTTAGACTTCGTATCACAAAGGCCACAAGAAACTCACGAAGATCACACGAGGGAATCCAGGGAGCAGAACAACGATTTCAATCTGCTTCCGCAGTAGTCCGCGAAACCATCTCCTCGAGAATGATCGATGCCCCGAGTGACGCAGCGAGCGTCGTTCAACGAAACATCGAATCGATATCAACCGAAACTTGAGATCGTGAAGAGTATGATGAATATATTTTGAATCGCTCCGAACACAATGGGAGAAGAGAGAAACAAGCCTGTCCGATCAGGCTCTGAACTCTATGGATCGGAGAACGTCAGGACAACGTTTTCATCAACGTTTTCCGAACAGAGCTAATGAATTGATTGAATGAGAAAGCGAATCGATCGCGAATGCCACAAGCCTAGGAAGGTACAGATTATAAATTAACTACAATCGTGATTACAGAGGAACCAACTTAATAAAGAGAAGCCGCAACTCGCTGGAAATGCTCCAGCGAGGAAATTCAGAGCAGAGTTCTTTTTATATTCCATCTCTGAGATTATTCAAGACCTGACGTGCCTCCCGTCAAGGCGAACAATCACCCAAGAACACTGGTTTTCGAGCAGTACAGATCGAAGATGCACACTTTTTCAGTGGAGGCAGGAATGTGAGGAATACATGATCCTGCGAGAGAGTTCGGGGTAATACAGCTCGATCCATTCAGAAAGTTGAGTGCACTCCGAAGAAGGAATCCGAGAAGCGATGGGCGTCGGAAAATAGCCTGAGCTTGAAATCAGCATTCATCTCGATTGTCGTCGTGGGGGAGTCAGGATCCTGCTCTAATGCTCCACCGACGGGCGAGCGAGCCCACCGGTTGAACTTCTGGATCGATCCATTAGTATCTCCAAAGAGAAGATACCTAATCACAAGCATACATGTGCCACGGATATTCAGCTGCTCGGGAGAGGTAGTCCCTTGATCAGTCACAGAGCGCCCATGTGAGACGTATTCCTGTCGATGAAGTCACTTAACTTGTCCCTCCGGATGGGAGCGATCCATTCAAGTCTTCCACTCGATATTCGAGTTCATCCCTATCAATTACTACCTATCGGTTCTGCTGATAATCTGGAAGCTACGATCGAAAGAAAGTCCTCCCCATCGAGGAGACACTTGCGCGATGTGTTCTGCGTCGAAGGTACGCAATCGTTGCCAACCCGCTCTTGATACTTCGGACAGTACCGCGAGAAAATCTCCGCAGAGGGAACCGCGCATCCTCCGTATTCCGAGAATCGATCTCCCTTCGAGTTCGCTGCCCATTGCGGATTTATTAGCGAGCCTGCGCATTACGCTGCCCGCTGGAAACGTGGATCTTTCCCTAGCCAATCACACATTCACCGGAGACGGCAAGGAGGAGGAATCCCCGGTGCGAGACGTACCACAGCCGGTCCCGGCCGCGAACCACATTACCTACTACGAAAACGATACTACCGACAGCGCCACGGAGAGTTTTCAGGGGTGTGGTGGTGCAGCAGCAGCTGATTTGGGTCGCGCTTGATGATGGCATCTCATGCGCTATAAGCTAAGAGTTCCATCTGTTCCGTATGATCTCTCCCAGTCTTGGTATTCTGCGATCGCGTCCGATCTCTGATGCGTAGCATTACGGATGACGGCTGGCAAAATGTCGCGCGTTGAGGACGATCCCTTTAGTCTCTATGTTAGGAAAGATCTATGAATGAACGCATTCGAACTACGTGCGAGCAGAGGCGGCTGACGGAATGGGAACGGGTGAGACACCCTTACACGGATTACGTCATATTCAGCCGACCTCACAGACGTCGAGGGTTTGTGCCATGATGAAATGAGAGTTCGATATTGCTCGCGGAAATCTTAATCTCCGAACGATCCGCTGCCGTCTCTCTCAGCTCGCAGGAAGACCGGAGAGCTCCAAGTGCTCGGAGGATCTCCCTGCCACGAGATTATTACGGAAATGGCATTCGGACGGAAGGCTCTCGGTGCACATTGTCTAAGGGGGTTGGGAACAAATTGTGATGACGCGGCAGACTGGGGCAGACCAACGACTGGCCGGAATCATAATCGATCACAGGGCGATATGGAGCCCGGTATAGGAGATCACAACGACGCCTGTGGTTGTTTGCCTCGAACGTATTTACATATCGCGCTTCAGAAAAAGAACGCCCTCCAGGATCAACTGACTGAGAGCATTCTTGGGTTAGTCACCATAATATCCAAAGTCGCTTGGTTATTTGCGAATCTATACCTCCTGTACACTCCGCATCGATATTCCCGCTGATCCTCAGGACCAGGATCTGCCGTCTTGAGGTTTCGGCTCCTGGAGCGGACGAACGGGAGGAGGAACTCTCCCCGACCAGCCCGTGTTATTTTGTATTCGTTCTGCAAGTTTTGCTACTGCGCTCGCTATGATGCTCCATCTTCCGCTCCCGAAACGCCAGAGAAACTCGGAGGGACTCGAGGCTCGTGCAAGAGAATGCGTTCGCCGATTGGCTTCGAAGTCGGCAACCAATACGCGACTTAGTTGGAGTCGAGTCGCGGGACAAGCTCTTCGAAAAAACACTCTTGCCTCCCTCACGAGTGATCAGCTTCCAGCCCAAGAATGTGGGATGAGGTCTCCTATTGCAATTCGCAACTCCCCCTCCCAGGAATGGAAGCCCTCCCCATGGTCCGTCCCGTGACCCCCCGTACTTTTTTTAATCCCTTCTCTGACTCATTCTGTCTGGATCAGCCGAGCTCGCCGCTCACGGTTTCGGGAACGATTCACAGATACGGACACAGAAGACGGATCTTTCCTTGAGAAGATTGGAAGGCTGAGGAAGACGGCTCGAGGAAATCTTGGAGATCCTTCAGTCCTTTGCGGTACCCATCCTATCTAACGGACGGTGCTTGAATCTTTCCTTTGTCGGATACAGACAGACTCGGCTGGGAAGAGGCGAAATTCCGTTCAACACAATTCTGGGAGCGGAGCGGGAACAAAAGAGCGGGGATTACGCCGAACTTGAACGACTGCGCGAGTCAGCGATGGAAGTTCCTTTGCACTCGCTGTCCCACCCGCTCAGCCACTGGAGCAGCTGCTCATGAGAGAGTGAGTGGGCCCTCTTCCAGCGGCAGAGTGGATCCGGTGAGACCGCCCGGTCGGTTCGATTCAGAAGCGGAATGCGTTCATCCGCTGCTGGCGAGTTGTCCGCACCACACGACGACAGGCGCTCTGCTCAATATTGTTATCATTTACGTGTCATCCAGTGAGCGCTGCCACAGGCGGCCCCGTCTGACTGACTGACTGCCTGCCAGCCTGCCAAGTACGCTCACTACAACGTCGGCGGCTGCTGTTCGACTGCGGCGTTTGATAGTCGCAAAGTAGCCGGCTGACTAGTGTTGCAAGTTGAATTTAAACTGTTTGAGCGAGAAGCGCGGACTGTCGCGGACTAGAAGTGTGCGCTCCGGTGGCTAACAGCTGGTGCCCCTCAAATCCCCCAACGAGTCCCCCAAAAATCGAACTAGCTCCGTGTCGTAGCACGAGTGGTTGTAGTGATCGCGTCGGAGATCGACTCGACCTCAGTGGAACGATCGAGAGCGACTTTCCACGCGACGCGAAGTCCACTTGCCAACCCCCGTCGTCGCTGTCGAATCGAGTCGTCGTCGTCGACGACGAGCTAGCGGGGCTGCGTGCCTGGCAGGGAGATGCGGATGGATTAGTGAGTCGTTCGTTGGTTCGTTCGTTTGTCAGTCAGTTCGTAGTGGTGGGTGATGTGATCGCCGTGATGGCTGAAAATCAGCCGGACTCTCCTGAATCGAACGGCTCCTTGGCCGAAGATTCCATGCAAGCTCAGCAGGCTGTTCAAATTGTCGTCGACGACGGTCCCATCGACGAGCAGCAGCAGCAGCAGTCACCACTGCATCAGCAAGCTCCCCGTGAGGATGAGAGCTCGCAAGTCGGAGCAGAGCAAACAGGTCCTCATCATCAAATCGCGCCAGTCGACTCTCGACAGGCAGCGTCGAAATCCTCGACAACATCGGCTACCGCTGCTGCTACCGCCACGGCAGCCGCAGCAACAACAAGCACAGCAACAACAGCACCGACTACAACAACAAGCTCAGGGAGTCTCCTGCGAGTTGACGCAGCCGGTTGGATACCCTCGGATCAACAAAACGGTGTACTGAGTAAGTCTACCCGTTCTTCGTTTCTCAATCAAACAGCTGTTACTAGGTTGCCGTCGGATCATGACGATGGCTGCCGCTGGTGCTACGGCCGCCTCCACCGTCGAGTTGAGTTACGTTGACGCGCACACGCGCTCCAACCATTTCGTTGTGACGAATTCTTCTCCGATAGAATTAAGTTTCGTTTTGCTTTATGACCTTTCGCTGGCTGTCAAATCTGCTCCGGCTGCCTCTAAAGGTTATGGGCCGAGTTCCGTCGTCTTCGTCGGGCCGTCATCCTCCTCGTCGTCTGGACGGATCTCTGGTGATTACTTACGAAGTCGGCTTTTTGTACGTACGTACGATTGCGGGGATCTGCGCATAGTGTGACTCGCGTGACATCGCCGCCGTCGCCGCTGCTGCTCCCGCCATCATCATCGCGGACATTTTAGAGTAAAACCCACAGAAATAGCAAAGCGAACCGCATGGAGAAATAGACGGACGTACGGACGGTTTGACGGTCGACCGACCGACCAGCCGAATGAGCGAACTCCCACCGGCACCACTTGTTAAGATTCGTCAGCCACTCCACGAGTGTGCCAGCCAGCAAGCCAGCCAACCAGCATTCTCGGTGGCTGCTGCTACGAGCTCACTTTCTTACTCTGCCGGCGGGCTGCCCGCCTGCTCGTTGTTCGCTCAATAGTATTGTGACGTTAAAAGACGTTAAGACTCCCGATGATTCTCATGATTGATTGCGCTACCAATCACAATGGCGGTGAATTCGGAACCCCTCTTGACTTGATGATCCGGAAAGAAATTTTTCTCTGTAGGAGCATTGAACGATGAGAATCCGATGCTGACCGCGAGATTTTGCCACAGTATTGCAGTGTCGCTCCCTACGCTCGGAGGCCGCCTTGGTGAATAGTGAATATCCGTATCGTTCGCCAGTAGGTCCTCTTGAGATATGAGAGATCGTCGCCGGATGGAATTCGAATCCGGTCTGCCCGAGGCGCATGCGATTCATTGCACGGCGAATTCAAGGGGGTCGAGTGGCCGTTCTGTGAGCGAGGAGATCTCGATCCCCGAGAGGTCCGAATTTCAAATATTTTCCCCTTCAATCGACGGCTCTCCGGTTTATTGTCGGCGATGATCACGGCAATTATATTGAATGTTGTCGGGAGCTCCAAAAAGATTCGAAAACCAACAATACCCTGAGTTTGCCAGGAGTAAAAGTCACACGAGTGGCACAGACTGCTACTGTAAGACGGTCCCGGGAGACGCCATGTTCTGAGAGATCGATCTCGTCAAATACGTAACTTGTGCCAAGGAACATGGAAACCTCCTCAAG